CAAAACATTTTGGTTGTGGCATTCCGCTACAACAATTGGATATCATAGTATTTTGGTTTTAGCATTTGGGTACAACAATTGGTATCACAGCATTTGAAGGTTCTAATATTTTGCACAACAGTCACGTTACCCACTCTTCGCGTCTTAAGAGTGTACCAACACCAGTTCTAAAAACATGTTTTTGTCCTCACTCACATGCATCTTAGAAAAATTTCCAAGAGGTCACCAAACATAGAATTGTTCCAAAAAAACATGTTTAACTATAGAGTTCCTCTAATTGAGCTACTGAAAAGAAAGGTACACACTGTTGGTACAACTAGTAACTTTCATTTCATTGAAGACTTTCAAAGTCATCTTATCCTAAAGATCGCTCTCACTAAAATATGGTCTCGGTTCATTCATGTATTCCTCTTTTACTCTAGTGTCACATAAGTTATTATCCTCTTTAGATATGAACTCTCGTGAGTTTTCTTTTGATTTCACTAAAAAAAAAAAAAAAAACTTACTTAAACCATGGATCTCTTCTTCATTGAACACAAACACAAAAACATATCACAAATTGTTGAAAACAACATCATGACTCTTATACCAATTGTTGAAAACAACATAACCTCCACTTATCTCCAATATTGATTTGATTTGGTCCATTTTAGACAACAATGGGGCGTGACTATATCTTTTATTTTGAACAAAATATCTATTTTTAACGAGAGATAATTGTCTTCACTTGTATATAGCACTTCTGACACTAATTATCTACAAGTAGTTTAAACCTAACTATATAAAACTCGAATCAAAGCATAGGAATACTAATTCTCGTACATAAATCAAAGGAACACTAATTCTCATACATTACATGAATCATGATGATTCATATACCAATATGAGAGAATTTACCAATATAATAGATGAACCAAATGAATCTCATAGATTCATGAATCAAACTAGGGAATGAGCAAAAAGTATTCATTGAATCCAAGTATTTATGAACCAAATATTTTATGAAAATTATCAACAATCTCCACCTTGTCAGAAAACTCCAAACAAATAATCGGTTTTGCTGCCACCAAATCAACTGGCTGTTTCTTCCATTCAATGTTAATCAAATCTAAGTAATGCTAGAACTTTTTGCGAGCAACCACCTTTTTCTACATATTCACAAGATTACTAGCCGTTTCAATTTTAATAAATGAATGTCTCATTCATTGATAATTTCTCGAACAAATAGAAATTGAATATCAACATGCTTGGTACGAGAGCATGATGGATTTAGTTCTTGAACAAACAAACAGCACTCTGGCCATCACAAAACAACTTTACATGTTTTTTTAGCAATATACAAGTCATTAACTAAACCATGCAACCAAATAGTTTTTTTTTTTAAGCTTTAATGAGTGTCATATACTTTGCTTCAATGGTAGACAATGTAACAGTAGATTGCAAAGTTGAACGCCAGCAAACAGATCCACCAATCACAGTGAATTGATTGGAGTGTGGAACGAAGCAATTTTTTACAAGAGCGAAAACCTCTCCCTAAACATACGCGTTTCAAAACCTTAGAAAGAAACTAGAAAAGGAAAACGAAAGGACAATAGATAATTTTACTTGTGCCCCACATAGTTCAATGAAATATTCTTATCATTCAACAATTCATCAAAGTAAAGCGCAAGAATGGTAAACAAGAAAAACATCACTTTTATTCATTAATATATCAAATACAGAGAATCAAAGTACAAAGCTACTTAAGAACACACTTTTATTATCATGCGTAGCAATAAAAGTAGCTTGTTTTAGAACAGGCAATAGAAAACAAGGCAATAGCTTTAGAACCCCGCCATACGTTCAAAGGAGCCTTCAAATCAAATAGAGATGCTGTTTGGAATGCCTCTACCGGTGAGGCCTTCGGTACTAGATGGAAGAAGCAAAGTGTATGGCATATTAACAGGCCCACTTCGATTTTTGAGGTTGACATCTCTATTCCTTTCCATGATTCTATTCTCAACTTCAAATACTTGTTTCCCGAAGTTCTCAAAGGCATCTAATGCGGCTTTGTCCGATGTCCACTCAATGCTAGCTCTCTGCCCAAGATAAACTTCATCAGAAGCATGCCTTGACAAGATTTCAATAAGCGAAACACCAAGAAGTGTTTGAAGTTGTGAATTGATGGTTCTAAGGAAAGCCTTCTCAGGCTTTGATTCAAGCTCTTTGTACTCAGAGCTTCCTACTTCCGGCATGAACCGGCGGCTTATAGTTGGTCTATTGGGAATATAGCCTCCGTAAGGGTATTGTCCAAAGTTGACGGCTGCATGGAGAGCTGAAGAAATCCATATGATGATGGTACAACTTTCAACTAGATCATTAATGGATTGCATCTTCGGCCACCATGCTTCGTTCTTCTTATCGGCGTGACCTTTTTCTCGTGCTTCCTTCCACCACGATTGGAGTTCGACGTCGTTTTGAATCGCCTCATCGTCTTTGTAGTAAAGAGAGCAATAGTTTGCGACCCATGTTTTGATTATCGACCAAATCTCAAGCCCATCAACAGCAAATGGATAGTCCTCTATTAATAACCGAAGTCCGTGTGGGGAACTTGCATCCTGAACGGCCACACCTCTACAAAAATCAAGGGAAAGAATGATGTTAAAGATCGTTGGATGAGGAGTCTAACATCAACTAATTAAGGAATGAATACATCTCCATTGGTATAAGTTCTTTTGGGAAAACCAAAAGTAAAGCCACCAGAGCTTATTCTCAAAGTGAACAATATCATACTATTATGGAGGGTCGTGATTCCTAACAGATGTACCATCTTTGTTGTACGATTAAAATAGCTCCAAAGAAAATTAAAATGGTGATTTACCTCTTAACAAGATCAGCAGGCAAGGCTTGTTCTACGAAATTCCAATCCTTGTATATGTAAGAAGACAACTCCATGGCGTATTTTGCTTGAAAATGAGTGGATTCGAGTAATCCATCGCCATTAACGAGGACTTGCCTTGCAAATGCATTGATAAACATAGTGTCCTTGTAATGAGGAACGAGCAGCTTATGAATGGGATGAACCACACTCAAATGTCTATGTGTTGCAATCACGAAAGGCTCTTGTACAGCGTGAGTATTCAACCTGTAATAGTTTTTGTAAGATTAGAGCGTTCAAATGAGTAGCGTTTAACGGTTATTTTGAAGAGTTAGTTCATATACCAGTGGCTGATAAGCTGATGGTAGCCAGCATCATTTACAACCACATAAGCCTTAGCCAATTGCCATATGGACTTTTGGACTCCTTCAGCTGGAAAGTATTGTTTACTAACAGCACCAAATTGGTCGCCTTGAGGGTGTGGCAAGCTTAGCTCAATCACCAATGGCTTCAAAGTGCCATCAGCTTTCAAAAGGAGTATTGTCCTTGTGGCGTATGTTTTGGTAGATGTTCCATTGATTTTCCTAAGAAATGGCATCAATGAATCGTGATGATCCAATATGAACAATCTCTTCTCATTCAATGCCTGCATGGATTCAAGTTTATACCCATCAATTGCATTATACAACAATATTAATTGAAAAGAAAAAAAAGGGAAGAACATATTACCTCTTCAACCGAAAGTCCTTCTAACCCGAATTTTATGTCTTCTTCTTTTATCTTGCTATTTTGATCTCCATAAAATTCCGGGTCAAGCTTGCTCACAGGGGGAAATTCCTAGAAAGATTAAAACGAAAAATTATTTATTGAAAATAAAATTTAGTGGGTAGAGATGAACTTAGATATAGAACTTCGAGATTACCTCAAGACGACGGATCATTACAGGGTTAACTCCGGCTAGCATTTCTCTAGCAAATTCTTCGTCTGTTTGCCATGCGTTCTTGTCCTCTATTTTCAATTATTATACGAAAAAGTTATTTAACTATAAAATTCAAAATTCCTTCGTTCTATCATGCTATCCCATAAGGAAAAAAAAAAGGTAGTATCTAATAAATCTCGGTCTCTATTACCTTTCACAACTCGTGGACGAGAAAATTTGAGAAATCGTTGATCACTTTCGGTCCTCAGAAGTTCTTGGAACATGGGTGGTGTGAAACCCTTGGTGAGATTCCTGAACACATCCACTGGTACGGGAAATCCTCCTTCATAAAGATCATGAACATCTTGGAATTTGTCAAACTCGCCCGGAGTTAAGTTTATTAGGTTTACAAGTTCTGGTTGGACGTTTGAAGCAAGTGATTTCAAAGCAAAGCCAAGAAAATCTGACAACTTCAAGTGACCAAAGTTCTCATCTCTAGGTACGTAAATGGTTAATCCCAAAATTGATGGCAATCTCGTCTCGTAGTTGGAATCTGAAAAATTAAATAATTAAGAAATTGAATTCTAACTATATCAGGTACAAAAATCTTATAAGAATCAATCTCAAAGGGTATGATTTAAAATTTCAAAATAATTATTACTAATCTTACCCTTTCTAGATCGTGGCCTCCCGGTTCTTCCACGGCGCGGGTAAGGGAATTGGCTCCCTCCAAGAATGGGACGGGCATCTTTACCTGGTTCAGAAAGGTCGTTGTAGACATC